GCTGTTGCTGATCTGCCCGCGAGGGACCCACGCGGACCCAGGTAACTCTCTTTTTATACTCTTCTCTCTCTCTCTCTTTCCGCCTCTTATCTTCCCTACACCTCCATTCAAAATCGCCGCTTCCCGCAATTTATCCGAATTATCTCGAGCTTGAAACTTTGCAAACTTCCAAAAGTTTGTAGTATGTTCTTTTTCTTCTTCTTTCTCCGCGATTCTCTATTTTTCATTAGAGTAAGTTATTACGTTTCATTTACGCACTCGAAGGATTAGAAAGGAAACGCGTTTGAATCGATCTGTAGGCGCCGTGCTCTCTGTCCAAGGATCATAAGAGAAGATGATAGTTGCGGACGACACCTCGGGACACGATACGCGATCGCCATTTCCTTCTGTATACTTAGCTAGATGCATCGATTAAGTCGTACGCGTAACCCTTCTTCTTCTTCTTCTTTTTCTTCTTCTTTTATCGAGAGAAGAAACTCTCTCCCGGTACGGTGCACTGGTGTTTCGAGTCGTTTCACGGACGACGTAATTACCAGCTTCCCCCGAGAAAATCTTGAGATACTCGTTCTCTATTTTTTCCTATTCTTTTCTTTCTTTTTTTCTGGAAACGGTGACGAGGTCGATCGATAGATTTCTCGATACGACCGACGTCGATCGTTTGCTTGTAAATAACTTAATTAACGTTGAAGCGCCGCCAACTAATGGAATGTCGTTTATCGAAGATACCATTCCTCCAACCTGCTTCCCGACACTTTTAAATCGCGTTAACCTCGACAACCGTTTTCTCGAACGAAAACGATGGACGTTCCGATCCCGTTGGAATCCCCCTTCTTTTCCTTCCTTTCCTCTTTTTCTTTCATCCTTCGTTCACGCATACCTCGAGCTTGTTCCTACGTTTCCCACTAGGCGAATATCGCGAGGAATCGATCCTTGCTCTCCAAGAGCAAGAGAATTTCGAGAGACGTTGGCCAACGCTGCGATCCTTGATCGTGTTCTCGTATTCCCTTAGTGAGCCGATATTTGCCGAGAACTCGATCCCATAACCACCACCTCGAGAATATTCATCGCGGAGGAAAAAAAGTTTCTCGCGTGATTCCCGCTTAATCGAGTAAGCAAACGAGTAAGCAAGCGAGCGATTCGTAGAATAGAATGGGACGATTCTTAAACGTACCCCGTCCATCTATCCGAGAAATTTATCACGTGGAACGTTACCCGGAACGTTTTCCATATTTATGGCGAAGAAAAAAAAGAAATTTCTTTTTCTCTTCGCCCCGGGCCTTTCTTCTTCTACGCACCCCTTCGCTTCGTCGGGGATAGCAATAACGATAATTTCGTAATGCGGACCAATCTTGGGAATTGCGGGATCGTTGGAAATGGCGGTGGCGCTGCATTAAAAGGGGATCATTTGGACATGGAGGGAAGGAGGGAGGAAAGGGTGATGGTGGGGATATATATAGACTCCTCTCCGAAATTGAGCGGGCAAACCGACCTCACTGGGCCTGTTTACTCTACGTGAGCCGATTTCTCGATGAAATTTTTTCCTCGGAAGAAGATTCCGCTCACGAACGTCGTTCTGCCATTTCGAAAAAAAGATAGGTTAGCTCGATCTTGGAATCGAATTTCGAGATCGATCTTATCGATAAGACGGATGCAAAACCGTTTGACCGGATTTTTACTCTCCCTCTCTCTCTCTTTTTCTCTCTCTCTGTAGGTTGATTCAGATTGTAGACACGCGCGTAGAAATGCTGTACACCTGGGAATTGGCCCTGTACGGAGGAGAAGTTTGCCCTGATGGAGCTTCTCAAGAGCGTCCCCCGATGGATGATGGCGAGCGGAGCGGAGACCAACTTTGTTTCCCTCGACCTGTACGAAACCCGAGATGCTCCTATTGGATAGGCTCCGTTATGTCTCTGAATTTCATTCTTCGATCCCTGGGACGACGAGTACTCGTGTTACAGTATCCGCCGCGTAAACACCGATTCTCTCCTCGACGATAAACTCTGCGGCTAAGCGAATTTGTCGAGGCAACGGCTTTCTTCAACCGATCCCACCGCAACTCTTTCGGGCTGTTTGAAAATTTTAAACAAGGAGGGAGAGATGAAAAGAGAGAGAGAGAGAGGGAGAAATCAGTTTCGATCGATGGATGTTGTCCTCGCTTCCTTCCATCGAATCGGACAAACCCCCTCCTCGGAGAGTTGGAGCGAACACGGTATAACACGGTGGCTGAAATTCGATTACTTTCTGGAACGGCAAACCGCTGCTCCTCCACGCTTCGTTCGCTACGCGGACACGCTTAGAGTTCGATTACACTCCCTTCTCCTCCTCCTCCTCCAATCCGTCTTTTCGATTTCCCTTCAACGATTCTATCGGCGCGATTTCTATTTCGCCTGCCTTCTCCGTTGTGTAACTTGAAAACGAAGAAAAGGAAGGGAAAAGGGGGAAAAAATTGGGTTTCGAAGGAATCTTGAATGGAGAGAGGAGGGAGCGTGTACGATGAGGTACGACAGGGGAGCAAAAGCAAGGTTAAGGTGGTGGTGTGTCGCCGGTCAGGGATCCAGGGACTCGCCGTTGGATATGCGCGCGGGGTAAGGCGAGGAGGAAGAAGAAGAAGAAGAAGAAGAAGACGCGGGAGCTGGAGCAGAAGCAACGAGCCGGGAGAAGCTCT